CTGTGGGAAGTGAGCACTTCTTTTGAATATGCTGTGAGGCTGTGTGGTCAAATGAAAGAACTATATTACATAGGCCCTAAGAGATTAAGGAAATCTTCCTATGGAGTTCCCCTACAAGCAAAAAACTTGACCAAAACAAAACTGGTGGGAGTATCTGGAATCCTGAGACAAGCTGGTTGGTAGAAGTTCCAGCAGCAAAGGATGTGAGCAATTGTCCTGTAGGATGCTAGAGGCAGTGGGCAGAACAATGCTTCAGATAGTAGCTGAAAGGGATTTGAGAACAAGCAAAGGCTCAGACAGTGACATGAATTTCCGTGTGTATTAAACAGTGAGGAAAATTATTAATTTAAAAAAGTCTAGAGATAAGGAAGTTCTACATTGAACTTATTTAGTGGTGCATTTGTGTCACGGCTGTGGCATCTGCTTCTTTGATTTACCTACATGGTCGATGGCAGCTCCAGTCTCAAGTTTTAAGAACAGTGAAGGACAGGAAGCTGTAAGTTACTGTCTTGTGACTTTTTTTTTAAAGCTTTGTTAAGGTATATGTGAAATATAAACCGCATGTATTTAAAATGTCCTGTTTGGTAGGTTGTGACATATGTAAATGCCCATAAAACCATCTCCCCAGTCAAGACCCCCCAACCTCCAACTTTCCTTGGGGCCATTTGTGTTTCCTCTCTCCTGATTCTGCCTACCTCCAGCCCAGGCACCACTGATCTTGTTTTCTCTCAGTCTAGATTGGTTTGCATTTTCTATACTTTTATATCAGTGAAATCATTTAGTATGTACTTTTTTTCATTTGTTTGGATTGGTCTGGCTTCTTTCAGTCAAGATAATTATTTTGAAATTCACCTGTGTTGTTACATGAATCAATAGTTCATTTCTTTTTATTGTGAGAGCTATTAGATTGTATGCACATAACAATGGTTTGTTTATCCATTCATCTTTTAATGAACATTTGGGTTGTTTTCAATTTTTTGGCTATTGCAAATAAGTCTGTGTGGACAAATGGCATTCGTGTCTTTTAGGTAAATACTTAATGAGTTTTGAGCGACTGAAACAGAGAGTAGGTGTATGTTAACTTTCTAAGAAGCTGCCAAAATCTTTTCCAAAGTGGGCATGGCATTTTACATTTCCACCAGCAGTGTATGAGAGTTTCAGTTGCACCATATCGTCACCAATACTTGCCATGGCGAGTCTTTTTAATTTTAGCCATTCTGATAGATGTGTAGTAGTATCTCATTGTGGTTCTTGTTTGCATTTCCGTAATGACAAGCATCTTTTCATATACCTGTTTGCCATCCATAGGTCATCTTTGGTGAAATGTCCAGTCAAATCTTTTGCCCATTTTCTTTTTAAATTGGGTTGCTTATTATTGAGTATGCGGAATTTCTTACATATATTCTTCTTACAAGTTCTTTTATCAGATATATAATTTGCAAATATATTCTCTTAATTCCCGGTTTGTCATTTATTCTCTTAATAGTGTCTTTCAAAGAGCAAAGTTTTTAGTTTTGATGAAGTCCAATTGATAAATTTTTTTTCTTTTATGGCTCATGCTTTCAGTCTAATAAATTGTATCTAAGAAATATTTGCCGACTTAAGGACACAAAGACTTTTGCCTCTGGTTTCTTCTAAAGGTTTTATAGTTTCAGGTTTCACATTTTTGAGATCTGTTTTGAGTTAGTGTTGGATATTATGTGAAGTGTGGATCACAGTTTGCTTTTTGCATATGGATAGCCATTTGTTCCAGCACCGTTTGTTCAAGAGACTATCTTTTCTTCATTGAATTATCTTTGTACTTTGTCAAAAATCAGTATTCCATATATGTGTAACTCTTTTTCTAGACCATCTGTTTTTTTCCGTTGATCTATTCATCTTTATGCCGTGCTAAACTGTCTTCATTACTGTAGCTTTGTAATAAGTCTCAATCAGTTAGTGCTAGCTCTCCTGCATTGTTGTTTTTTAAAGGCTGTTTTGGCTATTGTAGGATCTTTGCATTTCCATACGAATTTTAGAATCAACTCTACATTTCCACAAAAGCCTGCAGAGATTTTGATTGTGATTTTGTTAAATAGATTGATTTAGGGATAATTGACATCTTAACAAATATTTAGTCTTCTGACCCATGAACATGGTCTATCCATTTATTAAATCTTTAATTTCTCTCAGAGTGTTTTATAGTTCGCAGTGCACAGGTCTTGACATCTTTTGTCAGATTTATCCTTAGGCATCTTGTCGGGTTTTTTTAATGCTATTGTAAATGGAAAGTGAAATTTCAAAAATACTGATTGTTGCTAATGTAGAAATACGATGAACTTTTGTACATTGATTGATATCCTACAGTCTTGCTACTAAACTCACTTAGTAGTCTAGTATCTTTTTTGTAGATTACTCAGGTTTTTGACATTGATGATCATGTCATCTGCAAATAAAGACAGATTTACTTCTTTCTTTCCAATCTACATGTTTTTATTTATTGCCTGATTGCACTGGCTAGAGCTTCCTGTTGCTGTCTTGTTTCTGATATTAGGGGAAAAGTGTTCAGTTGTGCACAGTTAAGGATGCTATTTTTGTAGATGCCTTTAATCAGGTTGAGGATGTTTCCTTTTATTCCTAGTTTGCTGAGAGTTTTTTTAATCAGGATTGGATGTCATATGTTTTTCTCTTTGTCTATTGAGATTATCATATGATTTTTCTATTTTAGTATATGTGGTAAGTTACAGTGATATTTGAATGTTAAGCTGACATTTCATACTGGGGATATACCCCACTTGGTAAGGATGAGGTATCCCTTTTATATATGGTTGGACTCAATTTGCTAAAATATTTAGACTTTTTGCTTCTGTATTCATGAGGGATATTGGTCTTTAATTTCTTTCCTTGTAATGTCTGTTTGGTTTTGGTATCAGAGTAACATTGGTGTCATAGAATGTGTTAGGATGTATTCCCTCCTCTTCTGTTTTTTGGAAGAGTTTGTGAAGAATTGGTATTTTTCTTTAAATATTTAGTAGAATTCAGTGGTGAAACCTTCTGGGCCTTGGCTTTTCTTTGTGGGTAGTCTTTTGTTGTTGTTGTTGTTTTTGGTAACTTTCATCCTTTTACTTTTAACCTTTGTGTTTAGAATATTTCCCCTTAGTTTTGATTGGCTAGGATTGTATCCTGGGCTTATGCCTAAACCAGTCTTTGGGCAAATGGGAATAATGGAATTACTATGATTGGCTTAGTCCAGTGCATCCATCTCCAGGTGTGATTCTAGACAGCAATATCAACATCACCTGAGAACTGGTTAGATATTCAGAGTCTTTGACTCTGCCCTAAACCAGGTTAGACCTGCCTGCAATCAGCTGTTAGCAGGTTTGTTTTAACAAGCCCTCTGAGAGATTTTGATGCACCAAAGTTTGAGAACAGCCCGCCTAGAATAACCTTTACTTGGGGGTCTAAGGAGAGCTATCCAGTACTGGACAGTTCAGGGCTCTGTTAGCAAGGGAAGGTGAAAGGGATGGATTTACAATAGGTAGGTAATAATCTTGTCGTAGTAGACTGAGGTGGGGCCCAGGAATATGAATTTTTAACTAATCACTCTACTCTTGGTGAAGGTAGGACTGTGGTCCACCAGGGGATGAATGGTATGTTAAGATTACTGTTAAATTGATTAAAAGAGATATTTTAAAATGTTATCTGTAACAAGAGTTAGCAAACTATGTCCTGTGGGCAGATTGGCGATTTTCACATTTTTTAAATAATTGAAAAAAAAAAATCGAATACTATTTCTTGACATGTGAAAATTGTGGGAAATTCATCTTTCAATGTCTATAAATAAAGTTTATAGGAACACAGCCATACGTATTCATTTACATATCATCTGTGATGCTTTTGGGCTGCAGTAGTGGAGTTGAGTAGTTGTGACAGAGACTGTGTGGCCCACAAAGCCTAAATATTTACTAGCTGGCCCTTTATAGAAAAAGTTTGCCAACCTTTGATCTATAAGAATAATTTACCAAAGAATATTACGTTCTGCGACCATCTTGGATAACTGATAAATTACTCTAGTAGGTAGAAGTCCTGACTGTAATTGTAAAAGAGTGAATAGTGAAGTATGTTATTTCAAGGATATGTGCTCATTAGAGTTAGGGTGACTTTGAAGGAGTATCACTTTAATGAGATTTGTAATTAGAACACAGCTTTATAAAGCATGGTCAATTATTGCAGCCAGTGATTATAGTTTTCTTTCTTCCTTTTTTTAGTCAACTGTTGGTTAATCCTCAATCAGCATAAGCCTTTTTGTATAATCCTGTTGCTGAAAATATTCTAAAATTTACCTTGCACAGTGTAGCAGTGAGAGAAGATCTTTATTTTAACTGACAGTGCCTCACGGTGGTTATTTTGAATCCTAACCGTTACTGTGTAATAGTATAGATGCTGAAAGTGAACTCTTCCTAAGGCATATCTTTGAAAGCTGTTTGGCTTTAATGAGAAAGAAGCACATACCGAGTTTATTATGGAATTGAGACAGGGGAGATATCTGATTATTTAAAGGTTGAGAGAATCAACAAGCAACTGGCTTTCACTTATTTTTAGACTTATTTTCTGAAAAACCACGTAAGATTTGCCTTGTTTGCCACGTTTACATGTTTACATATGTTAGCCCAAGTTCACATAAGATTCTGTTGCCAAAGAAAGAGATGAAAATGTTCATTTCTAGAAATGTGAGGTAGTGAGGTCATCATGGTGCCTGTTCGGGGTTAGTTCAGTAACACAAGCCCCCATCTCTGACTCTCTGAGACGTAGTTTCATAGTTTTTTGCAGTCTTCCTTCCCACCAAGCTACAGAAAATGTCATATTCTATTTGGGGATATTTGCCTGTTAAAAAATAATTTTGCTGTTCAAATGTGAGGTCTGTTTTTGATAGAAACTCTTAAATACATGTTGTTTTCTCTAGAAGAGAGGTAATCTCTGTATTCTATATAATACCTATAATGTAGATTTCTTTTTTTAAGGTTATACATTGGCTCTTCAAAGACGTTCCCGTCATCAGAGAAGTCCCTGAGCCCCTTGCAGTGGTGTAGACACGTCCTAGATAATCCGACTGCAGAGATGGAAGCAGCAAGGCGTTCCTTATGCTTTAGACTGGAGCAAGGTAACTGTGACCCTGTACATTTACGTTCTCAGACGCTTGCCACTGTCGACTCTTTTTGCTGCTGGTTTTGGAATAGACACTTATCCTGAGGTGTGGCTGTTGTGTGCAATTTATTTCACGTGTGTTACACATCAGGGTTTCTCAGTATAGAATATATTTACTTTCGTGCTTGTTTTTAGCCAGATTTTTAGCTTGTTTCAGTTCATATTGTAAAGTAGAAATACATATTTTCTCTGTTTTTTTCCTTGCTGTTTGCAAATATACCAATAAGTAAAATTCATCAGTCTTAAATTCTCTGAGAATGGTAACAAGGTTGTGTGGCTGAATTCCATGATAGAAAACTGAGGTTCCCTTAGGACCTGAGTACTGAGTTCCTTAAATGTTTAGTTGGATGTATAACTGAAAGTCCTAACCTTTATAAACTGGGAAATAATCTTTGCATTGTATGTAACAGTAGTTAACTTATGGAGCCCAACGTAAGTTTAAATTAAAAATTAGGACTGTTTTAGAAGGAAAAACAGGAAAAGGAATTAGTAGTACTCTGCTCTTTGCTATTTTAATACAGTAAACTGCTTAATTAAGGTTGTGACTATTTAGGCTTGTGCTGGTCTCTTAACCTCTCGGTATCTGTTTCATTATCTCTGAACACTGTTTCTGTTCCATGCCTGTATCCAAATCACGCTTGAGCTTGAAAATGCAGATTTCTGCTCCTTCCAGATTAAATAATCAGAGTAGCTGGGAGTATCACCAGGGGAATCTGCATGGACAAGTTCACAATGTGATTTTTTTTTTTTTGGTGAGGAAGATCAGCCCTGAGCTTACATCCGTGCCAATCCTCCTCTTTTTGCTGAGGAAGACTGGCCCTGAGCTAACATCTGTGCCCATCTTCCTCCACTTTATATGGGACGCCGCCACAGCATGGCCCGACAAGCGGTGCGTCCATCCGTCTGCGCCCGGGATCTGAACCCCGGGCCGCTGCAGCGGAGCAGGCGCACTTAACTGCTACGCCACGGGGCCGGCCCCCCACAAGTGTGATTCTTAATCACGTTGAAGTTTGAGAACACTGCTCATAAAACTCTTCAGGGATAAGGAATGGTTGTAAAATATCTGGATATGATAAGACAAAGTATAATACTTGAGCTCTTAATTCTGTGGCAGTCAGTACGTTAAGTTTTGACATCCTCCATTTTCTTCCGTCTAACTGCATTCATCTAAGGTAGGTACTCCACTCACTTTTAGCCATGAGAAAAGTGCAGTTTAGAGAAGTTCAGAGGATTATGAGGCTAGAGCCTGGGTCCCCCTGGCACCAGAGACTGTCCTTAATGCAGTGTTCATTACTGCTTTTTTGACACAGTCATAAGTAAATATCAACAGAAATCTGTTTTAAATATTTGGGGAAGGTCAAATTATAAAAAGCATACTTTATTAACATTTTAACTAAAAATAAGTGATTTAGTAATAGAAACTCAGAGTGGAGCAGGAACAAAGGAGTATTAGGGTTAACACTTTGGCGACAGATGCTTACGTAAGAGAGCAACCATCTCTGAGTCAGGAGACTCTAGACTTGATTCTGTTTCCATTTACCCCTGTGACCCTACACAAACCATGAAACCCCTCTGGACTTTTCTCTTTCTCTAGAAGAGAGGTAATCTCTGTACATCTATGTAATACCTGTAGACCATCTCTAGGTTCTTTATTTAAACATCCCTTGATTCAATGACTTTTTATATGTACATTTTTATATATGAATTTGGCTCAGTTTCATTTGAAATAAAATTCAAACGAAATTCAGAACTAGAGTCCTTTAGCTCAGGGATCAACAAACTTTCTGAAAGGGACCAGATGGTAAATATTTTAAACTTTGCAGGCCACACAGTCTAGCTAGAAAGGCAGCCACGGATGCAAACATTAATGAACAAGGCTGTGTCCTATTCAGTCTTTATCTGCAAATACTGAGATTTGAATTTCATGTGATTTTTTTTCACAGCACAAAATATATTCTTCTTTAGGTTTTTTTTTTGTGTGTGAGGAAGATTAGTGCTGAGCTAACATCCAATGCCAATCCTCTTCTTTTTGCCAAGGAAGATTGGCCCTGGGCTAACATCCGTGCCCATCTTCCTCTACTTTATATGGGACGCCGCCACAGCATGGCTTGACAAGTGATGCGTTGGTCCGTGCCCAGGATCTGAACCTGTGAACCCTGGACCGCTGAAGCAGAGTGCTCAAACTTAACCACTACGCCACCGGTCCGGCCCCCTTTAGATTTTTTTTTGTAACTGTTACAAAAAAGGTAAAAACCATTCATAGCTGGTGGGTATTAAAAAAACAGAGGCAGGGTGAATTTGGGCCACCCAGGGCTATAGTTTGCCAACCCCTGCTTTAGTTCATTTGCACACAAGGCAGATTTACATACAGGGTTGATGTAAAAAGATAGAGGAGAGGCTTTGTTAAATTTAATGTAAATAATCTTAATTGGTGGTTGCTTTTGGGATTTTAGACTAAGTGCCTGATTATCTAATTTTATTTTCATTGACAAGGGGCTAGAGCAGAATTGTGAGGTCATGAGGACGTGAATTGACGTGCTGCAGTTTTATTCATAATGTAATTTATTTAAATTTCATGTAAGAGAGTTTAAGCAGGGAACTAGCTTTTCAAAACCAAAATTAGTCTTTTGCTAAATTTGTATATAAATCTAAATCCTCTTTTGCTGTGAGACTAGATGCTTTTGTTCCAAAGATCCATAATCCATGAGCCCCTTATGAGACAAGAAGTCACTGATTATGATTGGTTGTTCATTAGATGAAAATGCTTTTTTTTGAAATTATATTTTATAAAGCAAAATGTCTACAGTTTAGAAAGTATTAATCTTATGATATAAGGAAAATAGCAGATTGCTACCCCATCATCCCATGTCTATGTTATTACCCAGATGCTATTACTTAACAAAAGCTATTTTGGTTTTGCTGTTTACCTCTCTTTAAATTCCATGCCTATATGGCTATTGCTTGAGTAGTTAGTTTCTACTTTGGATGGTGAAGGTTTAATTCTTTATCACCCCCTCCCTCTTGTACTTTTTCTCTGTATATCTTCCCATGTAGCTTTTAACCAATTTTAGGATACATCAGTATCAATTATGATAAAAATAGTCATATCTAAGCCATGCAATATTTTAGCATTATGTTTCTTTTTTCATCCAACTTTTTGTTTTTCCTGGAATTAATTGTAAAAAGACATTTATTTGCTTTTTTTGTTCTCTGTCATTAATTTATCCCCAGACTCTTCAAATGAACCATCCTTAGTACGGTTAGACATATAAATGCATTGAGGGTTTCTATTTTGTTTTGTTTTTTTACTATTCCTCTTAGTGGTGCCCTCTGTTCTGTTGCTCTGGTCTGCACAGGTTCTCGGCATGCCGGTGCACAGCTGTCATGGCGGGGCCTCCTTTGCTTTCATCCTGGGAATTCTCTGTCCTTTCTTCAGTGTATTGCTTGTTTCCTGGATGCGAAGACTTCCTTTTCCTTATATTCCCTCTTTGGGTAGAATACATTCTCCTGTTGCTTTTTGGGGGGAGTAGGAGAGGAAAGAGGATATGTGGGAGGTAAACTTTGAAAACAGCTATGTCTGAAAAGGTCTTTATTAATCTTCACTCTGACACTTGATTGTTCTTTGGGCTGGGTGTAGAATTCTAGGTCAGAAACCATTTCCAACAGTCTAGAAGGCATTATTCCATTATATTTTAGCTTCAGGATTGCTGTCAAATTCCTGTATCATTCTAATTTCTGATTCTTGCAACATTTCTATCTAAAATTCCCCTTGTATTTTAGAATCTTTTCTTCCTGGTATTTTGAAATTTCATTTTTTGTGCTAGACAGTTAGTGGGCACTTTCAACCAGGAGACTTGAGCTCTGTAAAATTTCTTGCATTATTTCCTTGTAATCCCCCCTCCCCTCCAGTTTCTCTGTTCTTTCTTTCTAGATACTCCTTTTAGTCAGATGTTGAATCTCCTGGATTGTTCTTCAAATTTTATACTTTTCTCTCCTGTTTTCCATCCTTGGTATTAATGATGTTCTACTTTCTTGGAAATTTTGAAAACTCCTCTTCTAAACTCCTTTGCTGCATATTTATTAAGTACCTTCCATGGCCAGGCACTATTGTAGATAACAGGGATACAGCAGTGACTGAAACAGACGTGAAGTCCTTGCCCTCACCGAGTTTACCTTCTAGTATGCAGACTTTCACTTAGTCCTGTGTTTTGCAAGGTTCCCTTATTTGTGTAAGGTATCTTAAATCTAGCAGCTTTCTGTTTCAGTTTAAGTAATAGAACCTGTCCTTTTGATAAAACCTTTTGAACCTGACCTTTTGATAAAAGCAGGAGAACAGCAGCTGCTTGGTCAGGGGAAGGGAGCCCAAGGGTTCCAGTACTTTCCTATAGACTTCCAAACAGTCATCCTGTTTTCTGCTTCACCATAGAACTCTCTACCCTCTGTGGTACCTTGCACCTTCAATTCCAGAACCTTTCCAGGTTTGGAACCTAGAACCTATCCCCCACTGTGGCCCCATAGAGCAGAGCATGCTGAAACTGAAGTCCATTATGTAATGTTTATCTGTTCTTCATTTCTAAATGAAATGACTTCCTTAGACTCATATTATCTCCTTTCCTGTTCAGTCTTCCTTGTGGGTTTATAAGACTTTTGAGTTTAGCTGTCATTCTAGTGTGGTTTTGTAAGATAATAGAGAGGAATTCATATTTAGTCCTCCATATGGAGGAATTCTTACTTCCAATTAAGGGAGTCCTGTCAATGATGGCTACTTAACAGAGATCAGAAATTTCGGTTTTAACTTTAGCTTTATTCATAATATAGCATAAATATTTAATTGGAATAATGTGAGCATTCCTTATTTTATAAGTTTCAAGTAACTCTCTAATAAAGCATTTTTTTGTTTAGACTTCATTTCTCTCTTGAGCAGTCAGTGTTTTCAAGTAACAAATATTATTGAGC